TCTACTTTGTTCTTCACTATAATGTCGGGTCTATTAGCTGTGATGGTTCTGTCCGTATGTACTTGCATGTCCCATAGGATTGTTTCTGTGTCGTTGTCCATTACTTTTTCAGGTTCATGCTCATACCATTTTATGCAGACAGTAAATCCATATTGCTTGCACAGTTTCCAGTGAACATATTTCCCAACTTTGTTGTGTCGTTCTATGTATTCCTTCTTTGCAAGAACAGGACATCCAGATATGATGTGCACAATCCAGAACAAATCCGCACAATCCAGAACAAATGTGTAAGATGCATCTTTTTTTGTGGTATATATGAGAGAACATGCATCTCCCTTTTACAATCTGTTAGAGTTACTATCCTTCAGTAACATTTTCAAACTAAGATCAGCATTACTTACACATGAAATTATAAATAATAAGTCTGAAGTACCTCATATATTCAAAAATATACTTAAGCTGGTGAGTGAGCAACATTCTTATAATACAAGATATGACCTTAAAGGTAATGTTGTTCAATCTGTGAGTAAGCCATATGCCCTAATTACTTTTCTTAAAACTAAAAAAAATTGTTTTAAAAAATAATAGTTCTAAAACTAATAAAGTTTTTTGAGGGGTTTAATTTTAGGGGCCTTTTAGGGTGTTTTGACACGGTAGGTTTCGAGGCAGTTTTGAAAGTTGATTTCCTTTACGACAAAATTTGACAAGGTTGGCAACTCCGCCTTTCTTTGCCTCACACTTACCTTCAAATATCACCCTGAGGTGAAGCCTTTTCCTCCCCGCTCGCCATCCAGCGCCCGGCACATGGCAAAATAGATAATAAACAACCACTGAGTTGAGGTTCGAGAAAATCGAAGATTTTCTTTAATTCCTATTGAAAAGGACCTTTAAACAGCGAAATACTGCATTCTTTGTGTGATCTTGAGACCAACCAGTGAAGAGCAAAAGCCCACTAACCCTACCTCCAAGAGGTCGAATTTTATACTAAGGTTTGATATGAGAAAAATTTTAGGTTTAAGAAAAGCAATTCTCTCAGAAGCGATTTCCTATGTCTTCTGTGATTTACAAGGTACAATTCTTAGAAATATACACCGTTCTCATAATGGCTGCCGAGCGCACGAAAACGACGTCACCAGTCATCTTGCAAGGCTGCTCATTCAAGATAAAGGTGGATAGTGCAAATTCAGGTCAAAAATAGGTCCATTTTTATTCTTTTCTTCTATAAACGCATTTCATGTGTTTTTATCTTTTATTGTGAACTAATGAATGGGTGACGTCGTTTTCGTGCAATTGTCAGCCATTTCCTGATAACTCTGAACTTTTTTGATTTTTCCGAATCCGTATTTTTGGTGAATTTTGACAGGTTATTGGTCGAGTTTTGTTACGTTTTGGAATAAACCTTTCGAATTCATAGAATACCTCTGTTCCTTGACTACATATTCATTTACGCAGGGTTAGCCTCCCTCCGCGTTTTAAAGTGTATATCGAGGAAAGTTTTATTTTCAAAATCACCTATATGTGAACAGTGTAATACAGTGGAACCCCGTTAATAAGGACACGGTTGGGACGGACAAAACTGTCCTTTTTAACGGGGTGTCCCTATTAACCGAGGTGTCAGAAAAACAACTGAAAACACATTTTTAACCATTTATTTTTACTGTACTGTAAAGCTTGAACTACAATGTTCAATATAACAGCCTAAACTGGAACAAAAAGTGCATGACCGTACAAGAACTACATTCGCATTTACTGAACTGTATTGTACAATTTCATTTCGAGATGAATTCTGGAAAATGACATTGTAATGGTATTGCGAGCTTTGTCTATTTCATTATGCTGTCAGTAATAGGAAACTATGCTGCAATGATCAGTGTGTGGTCCGTTGATACGCAAACACTGACAATATAATCCGTATTAAGCTCATTATATCAATAAACAAATACTGTAAAGACGTCTTCAAATTTTAAGTGTCCTTAATGCGGAGTCGATTTTGTATGGAAACTGTCATTCAGGTCCTAGAAATGTGTCCTTTGTACTTATTAACGGGTGTCCTTATAAAGCGAGTTAATTTAACAGAAAATGTATGGAGCTTTCGTTGGGACTTTGAAACCTGTCCTTAATAGAGAGGTGTCCTTAGAGCGGGGTTCCACTGTAGTATGGTTGCAGTATTTTTGTATGTGGTCTTCTCTTTCCCAAGATATAAATATTTGAAATATCAATATGCAAATGAGATGACGTAAATTCCAGAATGTGTTACATTTTGCAGTGTGATTTACGACAAGTGTTCTGAAGTGAAATAACCCAAAAGTGTACAAGCCATATATTTCAGCTATAAGGATGATTTGCAAATGAAAAAACAGCAGTACTTTCCACAACAGTATAATAATAAATTAGTATAATAAATTAGTCTTGAACTTACGTCATCTCATTTGCATATTTATATTTTAAATGTTTATATCTCCGAAAAAAAATTTCACATACGAAAATACTGCAAACATACTACTACACTATTCACACAAGTGATTTTGGAAAAAAAAATTTCCTTGATATACACTTTGAAAACTAAATATTCAAAAACACCAACGTTAAAGTCAAGAATGATTACATCTCTTAGATGATAGATATTTCAACACTTGTGAATATTCTGCACCAAATCGTGGCTAAATCTGGGAAAGTGAATCTGTAAAAACTTATCAAACAAAACTTATTATCGCGAATCACCACCGCAAAGTAAAGCAGTGGCGCAGCTCAACGGGGTTAAACTGAAAGCTTGTGAAAGGCACCTAACCAGTTTGAATTAGTTAGGGTTAATGTGAGAGGAGGGAGCAGCAACTGGAAAGCTTGAAAAACCCCCGAGTCAGAAGGAGAACCAACTAACTTTAATCAACATGGGGCGAATTCGAAAAGGGTCTATTCTGTTGTTTTCCTTTTGTTATACAGTCAATGTCATTAACGTTGTCCACCGAAAAAAGACATTTACACATTTAGACATTTAGGCATTTACACACTTAGACTAAAATATCACGTGTTTCATTATGTATTCTATGCTTCGTGTCAACAGCCTGAGCTTTAAATGTAAAACTCAACTCGTGAATCGAAAATCCAGAATGACCCGACCATTTAGTGAGGATTTAAGATGGAGAATGGAGAAACATTCAAGAAAACACGTGATATTTCTTTTAGTCTAAATGTCTAAATGACTAAATGTGTAAATGTCATTTTTCGGTGGACAACGTAATGACATCGACTCTATATTTATATTTTTCTGTAGACAATGAAAGTGATCTTTCCCGCCACCGTTGGTGGCAAACGTGGCAATTCTTAAGGCGCAGACACACGATTTAACAATGCGCGCAATTGCAGGCAGTGTTGCCGAATTAGGATTGTTTTCTATTTCAGCAACATTGCGTGCAATGCAACAGATTGCGTAGTGTGACTTGGCTCGCAACGAGAATTAACTGCAACATTGCGCGCAAAGTTGCACCGTGTGTCATAATGTTTTTTAATGTTTTATTTGTAAGAGCAGGCTGATTATTCTGGCAGCTTCCGCTGATGTGGGCCTGCTTTCACTCACACTCACTGCCACTAAATTTACTATTTTATGCACACAACGCTCGGCTTACGTGGAGGAAAACCGGAGAACCAGGAAAAAAGCCCTGGTGGCACAGGAGAGAACAACACGTCCAACAAACTCAATTCACAAGTGGTGACCAGAGGTATTTGACAAGCGACCCGACCCGTTGGACTCACAACGGTGAAAGACGACGCATTAGCAGCGTACGCCACCCATGCCACCGGTCACCATGCTGTCGTAGCTTTTATCAAAGTTTATATTTTGCAAGACATTTTTTTCTCGTGAACAAAACATTTTAATAGATTGCCATCCAATATGGCGGAATACCAGCATGTCGCGACCTGCAGAGTGCTTGTTAAAACAGTTTAAAATTAATTTCAAAGGTTCGTTGAGTTCGTTTAGAATCGAGCATAATACCTATTGTACTGAAGGATCTTTTCTTTGCCATTCACCGATCATAGTCCCTTTTACGCGGAAGAAACCCTTTAAATCGTCTATAGCGACAGGTTCCTCCAAAGTTGCTTCGTTGAAATTTGAAATTTCATCCGCTCTTTATAATCAACGTTACGTTTCTGTACAAATCTAAAAGGCAAAGATTAATCGAAAAACATTTTTGAGCGATCATGACATGTAAAGTGGTCCTTACTGCCGCAATTAAAACAAGCTTTGGGTCCTCCTTCCCCAAATGGCCTCAACGTTTCAGTTTTATTTTGAGAAAATCCACCACCACAACTTATATTCGTGGCACCTTCAGTCTTATTCATGAATCTACTTTCCCTATAAGGTAATTTATTACGCGGGTTATTTTGATCATCTATCCTTTGCCGCCAGTTTGATGTCGCCCCAGTCATGGATCTTCCTTGCCAGTTTTGGTTTGTAGGATGTGCGTCATCACTACCTCCTTTCCAGCGTTGATCGAGCCTTCCTCGAGAAGCACCTCCACCCCTCGTAGGTAATGGCCCACTTCTTGTCATGGTACTTCCTTCTCGAGATCTGAACCCACGTCCATCAGGTGTTCCAATAACCGATGATGACAGTCCTACTCCTCCATTTTCACTTCTGCCTCGCTGTTTCGAGTTTAACACCGTCAAACGAATTTCTGGACTCTGGCCCCAATTCTGAGGCGGTGGCGGAGGAAAACCTGGGGGAGGCCGAGATAACGACGAACCTTGATCTCTTTTACCTGAAGTTTCTTTAATGGAATCTTTTGGGGCGACTTTACTGAAGGTTGGTTTATTATTCCCTTTATTTGCATCTTTGGGGCCATCACTGACGGCTGTTCTGGTCAACGATGTCAGCTTGACGGGAATCGCATTAGTTGTCGCCTCTGGGGAATGTTCTTCGTTTTTGGACTTGACAACAGCACTGTATGACTTGGGTCCTTGGTTATTAGGCGAATCAGGCCCTGCCTCATATTCATAACATGTAGTATCTACTTTCAAAGGAAGTGTTCTACTAAGGTACGAAGGCTCGAACAAGTTATGTGCGTCGATTAAACCAGCTTTATTATCTTCAGATGTTTGCTCTAATGTGGTTCTTTTTCGATCTGTCTTATTGGGATGACTGGGATTATTGGGTGAATAAGAATGTTCAATAGGATCGAATGTGCTATCTTCTTCATTGGCTGTTCTGTTATAATCCTCCTGATTTGCATTGTCTTCCTCGTTTTGTTTAGTGCTTAACTGTTCTTCTGTATTATCTCTAAGGCTAACGCTCCTGCCTTTATCAGGTTCATTATCAGGTTTGAATGATTTTTCCAAAGTTGCTTCGTTTCGTCGTGTAGATTGTTCCTTCGCTTCCAAGTTCTGTCCTCCTAATGAGCTTGGCACTTTGCTGTTTATTGCCATATCATTGGATCTGTTTTGATTAGGGTTTCTTGTGGTTGCGGGCCGTAAATCCCCTGCAAAACGAAACATATAAACATATTTATGATAATAATAATAATAGAGTGCAAATAATTAATCCGTGAAACACTAATTACTAAATAGTACAAAATAGTGCTAATTAAACAATAGAAAACAATGGAATTTGCA